GAGAGAGAGAGAGAGAGAGAGAGAGAGAGAGAGAGAGTAGTACACACAGAGGCGGCATACCAATAGGATAGTACGCCTGCGTGTGTGCGTGTGTGTGTGTGTGTGTGTGTGTGTGTGTGTGAGAGAGAGAGAGAGAGAGAGTAGTACGCCTGCATGTGTGTGTGTCTGAGAGAGAGAGAGAGAGAGGAGTACGCCTGCGTGTGAGTGTGTGTGTGTGTGTGTGAGAGAGAGAGAGAGAGAGGATTACGCCTGCGCGTGTGTGTGTGTGTGAGAGAGAGAGAGAGAGAGAGAGAGAGAGGGAGGGAGATTGCAGGCATACAAATAGGGTAGCACAAAATCAACCATCGACATCTGCAATCCAGATTCCCCTAGATCTGTAGCAACACAGCCGTTAGAACCACTACTGTTCCTGACAGCAAACAGGGTTAGTCTAGGCACACATACGCCCTCACATTCTTCCGGCCAGCAGGGGGATCGAAAAAAGGGAGGGGGGACAGAATCTGGAGGGTCTCATTTCCGTCTTCCCACAGGAGATTCCGAAACAAAATCATGGATGTAGGGTTGGTGGGTTGGTGTCACGCTCTCAGGGCAACATATTAGGAAGAGAGGAATCCGCACCAAACCCTTGGGTGCATAATTCTGCAAACATTCTTGATTTCTAGTGTCGGTGTTCGTTGTAGGCGGGAACAAAGAAGTCTGCCATGAGATGCATATGCTAATGCCCCACTGCAGGCCTCAATTTGTTAAACCACCACTATCCCCGCCAGTCTATGAGGGACCGGTAGGGCGATTTTTGGAATAGGCAGCTGACCTACAGGTAGCGAGGACTGCTACGAGCTGTGGAGGGGTCTGAAACGTGGCAGTACGTACAGCGCCCGTGGAAAAAGGAGGTCCACGTTACGTTGGGGCCAGTCAGTTGAAAAACTCACAACGTGCACAGAAGAAAAACAATATGGCTGTCCATCTTTCCATTTTCTAGCGGAAGATTCATTCTCATTATGCACATATGGTGAGTAGTGGAGCGAGAAAAGGGAAGCCGTTTCGTTTGCTACTTCGTCTGACATCACACCGCGGCTCCACTCCTCACCAAATGTCCAAAATGATAAGCAATCTTCCGCTAGAAAACAGGAATATTCATAGGCATGTTGTTCTTTCCTTTTCGTGCTGCTTTGAGCCAACTTGAGGCGCGTTTCGAAGTGGGGGCCCGCTGGATATAGCAACGGACAGTGACTTTCCAAGTCGGGCCCAGTTTTCGCGCACTTATTTCTTTTTCGCACTAGCAGTCGCCCACTTCCCCCCCTTTTCGCGGCCCTAACTCTCCGGAACGGCGAGTTTCAGCCGCCGGGGGCAGTGGTGGTTAAAGCGGGGAAATCTCAGCCGTCGGGGGTAGTGGTGGTTTTTAAGAGGCCAAGCGTTCCATGGTTACCTGAAGACGAGTTCAGGGCCAGCGGAGTTGCACTCCTCTAGGACAAACTATTAGGCTCTCACTATTTGCGGAGACCCTGAGTGAAGCCACTGCAAATATGCCACAAACAAATTCCTGGTACTCATGAAGAGTTCGGAGTTGTGGAGGATTGGAAGTCTGGCATTCCGGGAGGTGGAGCGGAAAAAACATTTCCTTCTTGGAGGACCAGGATGAACATCCTCGCAGGTGGAGAAGGAGACTCTTTTTCTTGTTGAAGATTGGGGTGGGGGGCTGGGGGGCGGGAACTCTTGTCTTCTTGGGCATGGAGGGGGAAGGTCTTTCCTTCTTGGAGCTGGACGTGACGCTGGTCGTTGCAACTTGTAGACGGAAGTGATGCTGAACATTGAGGAGTTCAGCCACTCTTCAGAAGCCAGATCATTGTTTGGCAGCACATCAATACATAATACAACGAAGACGATGCTTTAAAGACGGGACAACAGTGTGAAGGGACCAACCGACCGGATTCAACGGATGCTATACATGCCGACCGACCGGATTCAACCGATGTTTTCCATATGAGCCAGGGCAACTGGGAATACCAACGCGAGCGGGAAGACGCTTTGCACACGTAGCTCTAAAGAAGAGGTAGAGGATACATGGCTTATAGAGGATTGCATGCTGAGGGGATAATCCAAGAGTTCATGGCAAGCGCAACAATCGTTTACTTGCCCGTTGGGAAGCCAGGCCAGGCATACCAATCAAGGTCATAATCGACTCACAAGATGCTTTTCTGTACGTTGGACAGGGAGAGGGAACGAGGAACTGGACCTCACTAAGTTGAAGCAGGGGGAGGGGGAAAGGGAGGGGGGAATCTTGGATTGCAAACATGCAAAGACACAGGTCGACTACGTTTGAGTTGGAGAATAGAAAGGGTTGGGGGGGGGGGGGGGGGGGGGGAAGTCGGAGCATCAATCTTGGAATACAAACGTCCACAAAAAGGGTGATAAAGGGTGATAAGGGGTGATCAAGTCTTAACAAAGTCTCCAACGTGGTATCTCTATACTCTTAAAGCAAATAGCGGGTCTCACATAACGCTTCCCACTTCCCAGCTGGGCCAAGAGCTTTTGTTTCTGGGCGCACTTCGCTTTTCTTTTTTTTTTCCCTCCCTCAATTTCGCTCGTCTTCATAAAGGGAAACCCGGGTCTACTGTAACCTTGCGGGCAGGCCCGGTTTCCAGTGTTGGTAAAAAGGGGGGGGAGAGCCCAACCCCCTAAAAGAAAAGCGACGGCGGAAATGCGCAGTGTGGCAAAACCAGTATATGAGGGCACGCATGGGAAAGAAGCCAGGCCCAAGCGACTGTCGCACACGACGCACAAAAAATGCAGGAAATGCGAATGAAGTGGAGCATAGGGTGGGCTTGCATGGGCGATTGAAACAGGTATGGGCAAGCGGAGGATTGGGTGGGCTTGCACGGCCGATCGAGAGGGGTATGGACAGGGCCGTCACCGTTTTGTTTTCCATGCCTGTATCCGCAGAAGATTCTTTCTCATTTTGCATCTTTGGTGAGCAGCGGCGTCTCTCTCTCTCTCTCTCTCTCTCTCCACCTTTCCGAGCCCGGTCCTCCCCTTCTAGCTCCACCGCCCGGTCCCGCTCCTGTTTCCTTTTCCCCATCCGCAAGTTCCGCTCTCCCACATCCCCCAACTTTTCCCAGCGCATTCCCCCCACTTCTTGCTCCCCAGCCCGTTCCCCATCCGCAAGTTCCGCTCTCCCACGGACCATGAGAGGGCCGTGTGGAGGAATGCAAGGAGTGGGAAGACAATAGGTGGGAGAAGGGGGACGGCGAATGGGAGTTACAGGAGGAAAAGCCTGATGACGAGGGGGAAGACGACACTTGGAAGGTGGAGCGGGTGCAAGACGAGTACGATGACAGAAAAGCATGCAAAAGACCATCAGGAAGCAGAATGGTACAGGATATACGAGTCGAATATGAAAGAGAGAATATAGAGAATGGTGGACTGGACAGAGGACAGCACAAGGAGTGACAAAGAAAACATGTAGAAGGAATAGCAATGCGAATTGAAGAATGGCCGGGATGAGGGAGAAGTCAAAAGAGTGTGGGGAGAGGATAAAAAGGGATGCCAGAAGACAAACGCATACATCTATTCCTCCGTGATTAATTTTCTTCGATATTTTATTGAATTTTTTATTTTCCGTTCCATTCTTTTTCTTCTTGGGGGGGGGGGCCGAACTGAACTCGGTCTTGACAATGCATCATCTATTACCCAGCTGCTCAACAACTCCTCACACCTCGTCACTTCAGCAGTACAATGAATGCCGTCCTCTACATAGTGGACATTTTGCTTTTTCGCTTGCTGGATTCGTTCCTCCGCCATGACGCTCAATGAGCAGACAGGAACTGCTGCCACTTCATTTTTTTACATTCTTTTTTGTCTCCCCCTTTCCTCTCCTCATGCCCCTCTCCTGCACCGCAGGGTCCACTTGTAGGAGATTATTACAAAGACAGGCAGTGCGTATAGGGGCTGAATGTTCAAAACAGGCAAGGAGGAGACAGGGCCAAGGAGTCCAAACAGACATGCTCTACTGGTGAGAGAGAGGGGTGGTGCGTGTGTGTGCGTGTTTGTGTGTGCAAGAGAGAGAGAGAGAGAGGAGTGTGTGTGTGTGTGCACGCGCGCGCGCGCGCGAGAGAGAGAGAGAGAGAGANGCGCGCGCGCGAGAGAGAGAGAGAGAGAGAGAGAGAGAGAGAGAGAGAGAGAGAGAGAGAGAGAGAGAGAGAGAGAGAGAGTGAGAGAGCAGATTTCTTCTAGCTTGCATCATTCACTCAGAGAAATATTTCAAAGCACTTCGCTCCACTGCACACTATTCAAAACTGGGTAAGTTGGAAAAGGTAAACACAATTTGATATCTCCACCCGAACGACTGACACACAATGTAGCTGTTCCTAGTCAGCCATCTCATCTGAGTGTACAACGTTCTGGCTGAAGCACACAACCAGCACACACAACCACCAGAAGTGGAAAGCATGCCTGTAATGAAACCCCCCTCAAGTTATGAGCAAAACATGGAACCACTACATAAACCACATCTTATTAGTACAAAAGATGCAGCATGTAAATCCACCAAAACCGTCTACTCCTACACATTCTTCAAGGCAAACTGCAAAATTCCTTCAGCCAGTGCCCCTCTACTGCTATCGGCCTAGCAACCACAGACTGCTTATTGCTTTGTGCCGTCCAGATTTCCACAAAACAAACCAGACATAAAACAATAACAGCGATCAGAAATGGAACTAACACCGGCATCGATACCAACAGCAAGAGCGAGAGCGAGAGCGAGAGAGAGAGAGAGAGAGAGAGAGAGAGAGAAAGAAGGGAGAGAGAGAGAGAGAGAGGCAATTGAGAAATATCATACAGATATAATCCTTGATGACTTTTGAATGGAACACCAATGGATGCAATTTTCATCCGGATCCTGGAGGCTCTTTCTACCCCACACTAGGCCCCGGTTACACTGATAAGGTGACCATGAACTCACAGCATTGAGATCAACCGCGCGACAAGAATAGCATGAACGAGCACAAAGCACTCGTGCAAACGTGTGTGCAAGCAAAAGTGGTGCCAAAAGCTATATACTCGTCGCGTGTGTGCAAGCAAAAGCTATATACTCGTCGCATCAGTACTGCATGAAAGGACAGGAGAGGAGAGGTAACCATATTACAAAGGACTTCTCTTCTTGTCATGCGCCGCGCCGCTAGCTCAACTCGATGGGTCGCCTTTCCATATCCATACTACCACTCGCAATGAAGTAATAACCATAATCAAAAACCCATCCGTGATCTATTCAATAATCAACACAGCTGGCTCTTGAGTGGAATCGGTGAGAATTTGGAGCCAGCCCACCGGTTGCGTAAAACGCTATCCATCAAGTCGACGGGCATAAGACGGAGAAGATTCCAACAAGCGCGTAAATTGGACACGCACACAAGATACACAGAGACACACAAAATTGCTTCCTACTCATTGTGACATATAAATCGATGCCCACGTTTCTCTGCATCGACCATGTCTAAAAGAATTGCGAAAGAGATACAACAATCAATAGAGCAAAGGGCACAACCATTACGAGCAACGAACATGCCTGAAGCACAACTCCCCGAGCGGAGAACGGAAGCGGCGACTGTCGCGCACATTCTCCTGGCCAAGCCACCCCCTCATGCAATGACGGCAAAATTGAAGGGCCTTCCCCTCTAGACAAGAAAATTCATGAAATTTGTTGCGTACTGCATCGGCTTCACGTTCGGATGTGGCTGCACAGGAACGAAAACATAAACACCAAAAGTCCTTCCTCGTTAGGTTACAACAACGAGTCCCATAAACATTGCTCAAAGAATTCTTTTGAAGGAATGCCCAATAGCATAGCCCAATGGAACTCCCCTCGTCACTCACATACAATATTAGAGTTTGCTTCATCAAGAACGCCCTTGCCACCTGTAGGCCGAATGAGGGCCACGGGTCTATAATGTCCAGCACTGTGTACACACTCACGCTTTATAACAGAGAATACGACACTGCATACAAAGAAAGCTGTATCCTGTGTAGCATCATGTTCGGGTTCGGTGACCGAACCCCAACGTTCGGGACCGAACGTGAACGAGCGTCGAAACTCTCCGAACGCGTACATCTTAAAAAAAAAAAAAAAAAAAAAAAAAAGTTCTCCAAAAAATCTGAAAAAAAATATATCTGATGTAAATTAATAATACAAACAACTTTTGCCTTGGATGTATGCTCAAATTCATAACCAAACTCGAGTTAAAAATCAAAAACCACATTTTTATTATTATTATTATTTTTTTTTTTTTTTAATATGTTCGGCCGAACACGTTCGGGTGGCGTTCCGCCGAGCACCCGAACATGTTCGGACGTTCGGAAAAGCTCCGAACATGTTCGGTGTGCTACACAGGCTGTATCTATCGTGCGCATCATACTCGTATCTAAGTCATTCGTCTTGTAATTCATATCAGATTGGCACCTGTTGTAATTGCGAACATCCGACGGAGTATACTCCATTGCTCATTACCAGTTGTATGCAATGGCATTGATTCACACATCTTCCCTGTAGGTTCCTGCCCAAGAGGTTGGCTTTTTTTTCAGCATGATTTGCACAATTTTCTTTTTTTTTTAAGAAGGGTTGTGAGGTGTCGGGGATTCAACTCCTACGGGGAAGCCGGCGGGAGGCTTCATGCACCAGATTCAGCCAACCCGTCGGCGTGGTGGCCTCACCCACACACAGAATCACTCAAGTCAAGGCTCAAACCTTAGCCACACCCACACTCTGCCGGTATCACCCAGGACTGGTGCTACCCAGGCGCCGCGGCTTGGATCAACTCCCTCCGAACTCAGAGTCCCCTGCATCCCGATTGCACCCTGCCGGGAGGCTGCAATAGCACCACAGTCGCCTGGTGCGCAGGGGATGAGCGTCACTCCTAATAGGGGGGGGGGGTGTCCTGAGTCCACCACCCTACAGGGCTGAATCCCCCCATGGTCTCAACAACCCCAAGGGGATTTTCACCCTTCATGACATGGATTGTTTGCATGGACCTTTGCCACAGTTGCAACAGGTTTGGCCGACGAGTACGGCTCGCTCGACGTGGGCAAGTTCCTAGCCCTTTGCGTAACTGAAGAAACTCTATCCGCCAAACGATTCCTTCCAGGGCAGATATATGCGCCACCGGAACAGCAAAACACATTGCGCAGCTGCCAAGGTAGGTCCACCTTGGTTTTCTGACCAACTATACTGTAGCATATTACATTCAGAAATGTGCAGTAAAATAATGGACTACCGTCTTCACCCAAATATAACACCCGGTCATTATTGCTGTATTTGGCACAACTTTCAGGCCAGATACGGCGATAATTACCGGGCGTTCTATTCGGGTGAAGACGGCAGCTAAAAGAATAAGCCCGCGCCAGCACTTTCATGGATGTACCTAGCCAGACAGACTCCGTCCGATTCAGTCAGAAATGTCCTAGCATGCTTACGCCTTGAAAAATATGACAGTACAGTATACACGGCCCCGGCATTGCAGAAAAAACATTTCCGTCCCAACTGCGCTGTAGCACGGGTACTTTCAGGGCCCGCGCACCAACAATATAGCCATTGATCAGTGGCCGGCATCGCGTTTCAGGCCTCCGGAAATCGAGGTGCCAGGCGTCGCGTTTCAGGCCTCCAAGGTGGGTCGTTTACTGGTGGCCTGGTTGTCAAACGGGTAGCCTGGTTGTAGACCTACACGATGTAATGGTTTCAATGATGAACTGGTAGCCTGGATGTAGACCTACACGATGTAATGATTTCATACCCAGTCCCAGCCATTGTAGATCCATCTGTACTTCCCACATCGGCAACCTATGCGTCAGGGGCGGAAACATATACCCGCTGATAGATAACAAGCATATACCTGCTGATAGGTCATAACATCCACCTGTAAAATACTTCCCACACCACTCTACTGTGCTGCACATGGCAGACACACACACACACACACAAAAAAAAAAAAAAAAAAAAAAATCCACACAGAATACACTGTGCAAAGATTTTAACTTCTGGCTTGCATGATAGCCTGAGAAAACTTTCAGATTGTTCATTGAACTTTCATTCTTGATCGATAACATGATAACTTCTTCTAGTGTAGCGCATAGCTGTGCAGTAAACACACAGAGATGAACACAAGAAGTGACAAGAAGTTGAAACACACTTGCTGGGAACAATATGAGAAAAGAAAAGAAAAGAAAAAAACGACTGTAAGATGCAACTCTGAAATCCTGAAACGGTGAGACGCGATACTACGAATGAGATCCATGTCGAAAAAGACAAACAATGACAGCAATAGGAAAACCGGTCGATGGGGAATCAAACATGCATGCTCGCCCTCGGGCGCGCATACACACACATACACACAAAGCTGGGAAAGAAAAACTACAACAACAATCGCAACAATGCGAAATCACGAGGACTGGCAATCATGATCAGGACTGTGAAACTGATGCTGGATTCTGATGATAGCAAGTAAATAGTGACGACAACAATGACGATAATCTGGACAATAATAACAACGACGAATATGATGATGATGATGATGATGATGATGATGATGATGACGATGATGTGAGGATGTGATGATGATGATGTGAGGATGTGATGATGCGATGATGTGATGATATGATGATGATCATACGATGATCGCAACAACGACAGGATGCCTGAAGATGAACACAAAGACAGTGGCCATGAGTAATGATGACAATGCCGACAATGTGCAATGGAAATGATGATGATGACCAAAATCTGGAACAGCAACATGGCGAGCAAATAGGAATGCAACCTTGAGTATACTGAAATGGCGCCGCATAGAAAGGATACCCCACAACGCTTCCAACTGTACACGGATGGACATACCAGCTTGCGCATAACAGAAATCTCAACAATACTCCAGATAATTTCAAGTTCGCAAATTCATCAGGCTGTGGGGAATTCATTTCTACTCCATTCTTACCACTGCCTTGAACTTCGTAAACTTCGGAACCATGTCAGACTCGAATCGAATATACGCTCCCAGATTGCCCATCTGTCAACCCAAGTTGGCCACAAAGTCGAACAAACAAACAAAAAAGACGGGACGAATGTGAACCAGCATGTCTAACCAACAGAGGTTTCCTCCCAATTAAATTCATATGGTTGTTAACAAGAAAGCATGTCCAGCCTTTCCTTTTTTCATTAAGCCTCCGCGATTATTAGCGAGAAAAGAATGTCAAAGTGTTTATGCTGTGAGACGAAAGGCACTACCGTGGCAACAAAGCGGCGGAGCATTTCAAATTGCTAGGGGGGGGGGAAGGTGGGAGAAGGGGGAAGAAGCGGGCGGGGGGGAGAGGTTGGGAAGGAAGGCGGGACAGGTCGCGGAATCCAGCACAATTTATTTTCAAAAGTACGTGTGAAACATTACCTCCTAACCAAACACGGATCTCTTCCAGCATTAAACATGATGCCATTCAACTTCATTCGGTTAACTGCAAATCGGAAACAAACTTTGAACCACCAGTACAACGGAACGGGTGCTTGTTTTACAGAACCTACGAGCGGAGCCCCCTGCACACCGAATTTTGCCAAGCCTGGAGGAGGAGAGAACCAGCAGGGGAAATTTATTGGTTGGCACCGGTACCACCCCTCATGCTGGACCTGCTGCCAGCAGCTGGAACGGAAGGCGGCGATCGTTTTCTTGTTGTCACTCATGTCCCACCACAGGCCTGGCCGGAAAGGCAGTCAGATACATTCTGTAAAGTGCTGTGTGAGAATGCCCTGAAATGAAAGGGTGTGGCAGACAATCGACTGGCCCCCCGCCTCTCATAGGGAGTCACATCAGAAACAGTGGAGACTTTTTTATCCCCATCTCTCACGCGTAGTCGAGAGAAGGTTAACAACAGTTGTATTTTTCATCACCACTTCAGGATGCAGCCTGCCTAAACAGGTGGTTTTCAGGGCCTTCGGGCCTTCCACCACTTCAGGACCATTGAGGATTTTCAAACTGCCCAAAACTCTCACTTCAGAATTTTCATTCCTATTCCTTGGGCCCACTGACTTCCTTCCCCGTTGCACTACCAGGCCTTCCCTGAAGCCCGAACTTTTCGGAGTAGGTGATAGGGTTTTTATCCTGCAAGGCTGAAAACGTGTACTGGTGGTTTAAACTAAGATGCACAAACACCCTTAAAGCCAGCCTCAACAGCAATGCTCAAGACCATATTCTAGCCTGCCAAGTTCTAGGATATCAATATCCATCACTACCTTCTTCCCCCAAAAACAACGTATGGTCATTATAGCTGCATTTGGGGTATATCTCAGTCAAAATACAGCTGTAATTAGTAATTACCGTACATAGTATTCGAGGGGAGAAGGTAGGAGTACGCACGGTGACAACGACCCCTTTACACCGTCCATCACTACCATCTTCACCCGAATAGAACGCCCGGTCCTTATAAATAAGCAGATCGACTTGCATGACATCAAGATGAGAGTCCAAGATGTGTGTGCGAGAGACAAGAGACTGGGGTGGGGTTCGGGGCGAGGGAGGGCGGTGAGTGAGCGAGCAAAAGAGAGAGAGAGAGAGAGAGAGAGAGACTAAGGCCTGTCTCTTATACACATCTAGATGTGTATAAGAGACAGGAGAGAGAGAGAGAGAGGATTACGCTCTCGTTTCGAAAAACGAAACGGGAATGCATCTTCCCCGCAGGGAGATGCATTCCCGTTTC